TCTAAACAGGCATATTAGATGGCAGCTCCCTGGGGTCTCTCGGGGTCCTAGCGAGGAGAAAGCAGCCGCCTAATATGCCTGTTTAGAGGCCGCTGCCTGATTGTGACCAGCCTGGATCCCATACCGAGGCGATCTATTTTCAGAGGTGGTCCCTGAACCTGGGCTCGCGTGACAGCAGAGAGGGCCCCACGTGCCCTCCCTGGCACATGTGCCATAGGTTCGCCACCACTGTATTAGACCATCCCTCATCTGGCTGAAATCAGCTGAATCAGGAGACTATCTTTTAATGAAAATGGGCACCTTTACTACAGTTTCCTCATTACTATAAACCTGCTGCATGCAGATGGGTGTTTTATAGGCACCTTTGTAGCTTTACTGTTGGGCAATGTTAAGAATTGCATTTGGAAACCACAACACACATCTGCCCATAAAAGGCCTTGACAAAGGCTAGAATAAAAAATAGTACATGCTGACTTTGAGTTCTTTCTGCATGGATAGAACTCCATGCAGCATTTAGTACAACCAATTATCCCCTCCAATGTGCTTGTACAGGGCATATCCAAGCAATACAGTTTAATACAATGGGGGATTTATCAAAACGGGAACAGACAGAAACTGGAGCAGTTGCCCATGGCAAACAATCAGCTTCTCTCTTTAGTTTGTTCAGTTAATATTTGAAAATGAAAGAGAGAAGCTGATTGGTTGCTATGCACAACTGCTGCAGATTATGTCTGCTCCAGATTTGATAACTCCCCCTCAGTGTGTTCCTATATGAGTTATTAGAACTATTTAATTGCATTAAAACAGTTTCGATACGTGCAGGGCTCCCAACTGTGCCTCTTCTGGAGTCAAACCCCTCTATCCCTCATTCCTCCTCAGTTGTCCCACTTTTTGATCTGACATCTAGACCCTAAAAAACTCTGGGACAAAAATTGTATTCACCCTTGCAGCAGGGCTATCCCTGCACTGCAAGGGTTAACTGCTTGATTTCTTCTAGGGACTAAATAAAAAAAAGTTATACTCACCCAATCCTCCAAGCCAGTTTTCTTGTTAAACCGGTTCTCCCAGCGTCTCCCCCCCCTCCAGTGCAGCAGTCTAAGGTCCCTGAGTCATCACGTTCTATACACAGTGTATAGGATGTGGGGATGCTGAGGAACATACCATTGCTTCAGCAGAGGAGGAGAGAGACTGGTGGGAGCGCTGTGACAGCTGGTCGGCTCCGTAGTTATGGTGAGTATAATTTTTTTTATTTTAGTCCCTGGACAAAAAAGAGCAGTTAACCCTTGCAGTGCAGGGTAGCCCCACTGCAAAGGTTAATTCAATTTTTTTTTCCTGGATTGTTCTTTAATAACACAGCAACTATTTACTAACTAAAAGTGTTTTATTACACTGAACCTTCCACCCAACCTCTAACTGTTTGCATTTGTGATTGTGACAAGCCTGTTAAAAGGAAAAGTGATGGAGGATAAAAGCACTTATGGTTTAAACCAATAATTTTTTGTGCATCAATTCTTCATGATTCGTGTAACTGGGGGCATGGTGGGGGGTTTTATGCTTATACATAGTTTATGCTGGAAGGTGTGTTTCTCATCTTAGAAAGACTGGAATTATGGGCATGGTTCAAGGATAATCAAAATGTAAAGTTTAATACAGTAATATGCAAAATGACATTCATGTAGTGATATAAAGGGACAGGTAACTGGCTACGTGAGGAGAATTCGATGATGGAGTAACAGTGACCCTATACACATTCTAAAGTAGTTCACTCATATCTAAAATGTTTATTATTGAGAAAGTGAAGAAACAGAATAAATGTCATGCTTAAAAAAAAACTTTTCAAACTTAGATACATCCACAATAGAAATAAAAACCATTCAGATTACTCACCCACTTGGTCCCGGTCTTTGGCCCTGAGTGAACTGCCAGTCTGCATTAGGCTGAGATTGCTGAAAAAGAAACAGAATGGTGTCCTTAATTGGTGTTCCGGATGCATTCACTCTTGGCACATCATTGCATTTTTAAAGATGATAATCAAACAATGTTCATTGTATTGTAAATTAGAAGGGGTCACAGAAGAGTGTTTCACCTTATAAAAGTGATTGTGCGCATCTTATAGGGGTGATCTTAGGCAGGGCTTTTACTTCGAAAAGATTACAGGGTTCACTTTACAGGTTCACTTGAAATCAATAGTTCATCAAACAAAACAAAAAAAGTCTAGCATTTTGCAGGTGTTATGTGTAACCGTAATTATCCATTATGCATATATTACTTAGTGCGAGAGAAACTTGTTTCTATCTGCGACACTGGACCTTACAATCTAAAGTGTCTGCAATCGTATACATAAGGTTAATGTTAAATAAATGACACCACAATTTTATATTTTGAAAGAAATGTAAAAGTCCCCATACATAATCACAAAAAGGTCAAACTGTGTGGTTATGCAACAATCTGAGGGCTGATTCACACTTTAGCAGTGAGCTCATGCACGTGCGTTACTTTGCATGTTAAAGTGTGTTGCGTTAAGCAGAGGGGTCCCGAGGCGGGGTGACACCTGGTGCTGTGACCCCCGTGATGACGTCAAGTGCGGTACCGCTGTTACCTGCTGGGTGATGGATGCTGGCAGAGAGAGGAGGGGACATCATCTGGTGGGATAAGGTATGCCACAGGGTCCCCTCCTCTCTCAAGCAGCTGTCGGTCTCTCGGTCCTTGACCGAGTGCCCGACTTTTCAGAGAGGGGTGACACCAAAATGACTGTCAGTCATTTTGGTGTCACCCCTCCAATGGTGTCACCTGGGTGCGGGCCACACCCCCCCTTGTGACGCCACTGGCGTTTAGGCAGTCCATTCATTATAAATGGGCTGTTAATGCACCACAAAGCATCAAAAAATGCACATGACCATTTTTTATTAACTCAGCACGCTACAACATACGGATTGTGCATCATGATGCACTCTACTGTCTAATGCATTGCTGTGTCATTATTATTAGGACTAATATTCAAACTATTAGTAAACCATGCTTCTGCATTCTTACTTATTGTTCCGGTACAAGCAACAAGAACAGAGTTTCATTCAGATACTCAGGTGAATAATGAGCTCCAGTGAAGGACAGCAAACTCCATAGAGATATAGCCCTGGTCAGGACAGAACCATCACAGCAGTAGAGGTCAATAATACTTGCCACTATACCACATTTTGTAAGATAAGCTACTATGATGCACTATGATTACGATATGGTGTATATTGAAAGAGCAAAAATCTAAGTAATAAGATAATAATTGTTTTCTACAGCGCTAAATTGAAAACAGAAATAGAGACATGTGAACTTCTGTATTGTTGTAGCAATCTGTTGAATACGACACATCCGGATCACTCATTATATAGCACACTGCTTTACCACAAAAACATTTTCCACAAACTGAGTTCTGTCATTATCTCACCGAAGACCATGTAGCAGCCTCCATCCCTGGAGTGCAAAAATGCATGGAATCTTTACATTTACCGCATTGTGATTGATCGCTGCACAAATTACAGCACTTTAAGCTGCTGAAGATATTAATGAGCCGCATTCTGCCTGTTCTGTCTGAATGGAAACATATGCTAAATAGCAGATCGTGTCAGTGTAACTTCCTTATAGTTATGGCGATAATGCACAATCCTAAAGTGGGCCTATCATTACACATTATACTTCCCATGAGACAGTAGGACACATCTCAGCAGTACCAAAGAACATATTTTGAGCAAAACAAAGTATTTATTTTATGTAATGAATAAAACATTCTACCTTGAGATCCTTCACGTCACTTAAAGGAGAACTATGGGGTCAGGGGTTTTCCCCATAGTTCACCTTAGGGTAACGAGAGGACGCAAACTAGCGTCCTCCCGTCACCCTAAGCTCAGTATACCGCGAGCTACAGCTCGCGGTATACTGAGATGCCTCAGCCAGAGTGGATCCCGACATCGATGTCGAGATCCGCCCAGCTGCGTGAGTGACAGCTGGCTCTGCCTATCTAGAGGCAGAGCCAGCTGTACCCGCCCCCTCCCCGTCCGTTCCACCAGTCAGCGCTGGTGGATCGGAGTGGGGAGGGCCCTGTCACGGCAGAGAGCCGTGACAGGATCGAGAAGTGAGCGAGCGTCGGTATGTGTTCTCTCACCTCCCGATCTACTGAGCCGACCTGTCACAGTCTCATTGTCACAGGTCGGCTAGAACTATGAGGTGAGTGAAAAGCACTCACCTCATAATTCTCCTTTAAAGTGGAACTATAACCTCTAATCCTCTACAGCCAAGGAAGGTGCCATCTTAGCCTCTATTTGGATTGCAGTTGCCATGGTGCTGTACATGTGATCAGCTATGAAACACTAAGTTTGGCTGAAATAAGCACACTGACAACCTTGACAGTTGGGATGTCTTAAAAGTAACTGTTTTAGGAGACATTAGATTAGTCGGTCTAGTTCCCATGTAGGCTGGCCGTACACTGATCGAATTTGCACTGTGGGTGGCCCTGTTGATACCACTCCATTCAACAAAATTCAATTTTTCAACAGACTTTTGTTGAAGTTGCTGGACCAAAAATCGTCAGCTGAACAGTGATTGCAGGCAATCAGCCCCTAGGCATCGGCTTTCAGAAATACCATAGCCCAGCAGGGGAGATTCCCCAGCCACGCTATTTAACATGGATGAGGGAATCAAGCATTTTTTTCTCTTTCAGCTCGCGGGGCTGAATGATTGCTGAATGAAAAAGAAACTTTCAGTGTATGGTCAGCTCTAGAACCTAGTCAAAGAAAATATGCACTGCAATATGAATGTTTAACATCATTAGAGACTGCAACTGCAGAAAATCCATTGGTTTCAAACAGACATACCTTATTTATGAAATAAGAGCATTCTTAGATAAGATTGCTTATGTAAAGACCAGAAAAAAAGGTTTATAAAACAATAACGTACTAATATATCCCAAAGTGATGTTTTCAATTAAGTGGAGCTTGGTGAGTTAAAGAAGAACTCCAGGCAAACCGTAACCCTTGCAGTGGGACTACCATCGCATTGCACGGGTTAAGGGCTAGTTTTTGTCTAGGGGTGAAAATAACAAAGATATATTCACCAAAACTTTGGACCTGCCTGGCTGCTAGACCAGTCCCTGTAGCCTCTCTCCCCCTCTGCTCTTGCAATGAAATGTCCCTTGGCGTCCTCACTTCCAAAACACTGTATTGGACATGATGACTCACTGCCAAAACAGATGTGGAGAGAGGCTCTAGCAGCCAGGAAGGTGCGAGGTTCGGGTGAGTACATTTTTGTTATTCTCTCCCTAGATAAAATTAAGCACTTAACACTTGCAGTTCAGGGGTAGCTCCACTGCAAGGGTTAAGTTTTCTTCTGTCCAGAGTTCTTCTTTCATTTGCCATTATTATATATCCCGGATACTCCAACAGTGACATCTCCCTGACACATGGAAGTTTTAGGTAGGTGCTCCCACCCACTTTTGCATATATAACATGTTGTACAATTAGAAGTAACAAAAGAAATAGATTGATCTCGGGAATTTGGATCACCCTTCTTGGTATCCAAGGCAAAATCAGTATATTGAGCTGAATGAGTGCTGCAGCAGCGTCCCTGTGCTCCTTCGTACTAATAGTTGAAGTGTTACAAAGACTCGGCTATTTTGAAGATCCAGCAAACTGGAAATACAGTAAAATATCAAATACTGTACAATGTATGATCACATCTTCTGACTTAAACGTCTAAAACTTCAGCTACATCACTTCTGCATTGCTAGCAGGAAATGTGTAAAGAACTCATAGTCTGGAATCATTTGTGGACAATTCAATGGAACACATAAGAGGTTTACAAGATTAATCCTCCTATTGTTTCCTATTGCCTCCTGTGTCTTATATGAGCAGGTGACCTAAGCTGATCTCACAAGCTGTGGGGGAATGGGACTGCTTTACACTGTATAAGACACAGCTCTGTCTGAGCTGTCCATTGTCATTTCTAAACAACAGAATAAACCTACATGTGTATAATAGTTGTGCACAGTAGTGAATGTGAGGCATTTGTGCAAAAACACATGCACACCGGTGTGCAGGTGTACAGAACACAAGGGAGCACCTGCACAAATATACAAGATTGCGAATGCACAGTCTAAATGCTGGCCATGATAGGTGTAGTCAAGGTAAAAATGATAAGCACCAATAACAATAATTCCCAGTCTTTCCTCCCTGTTGGTTAACAGCAATCATTTGACAATGCTTCGTTTACCACAATCTACTTTATCATAATCCGCTGTCTGTTTGAAGGAGGACATTAGTGAAATACATAAGTAACTTACCAATATGGGGTAATATATATATTATACTCTCTCTATATATATATATATACATGCAT